CCCCGGACAGAGGTGAGGGCAACTGGCGGGGCACTGGCTCAGAGGGCTTGGTACCCCCACATGCCCTCATGGCATTTTGGGGCCTGCTCTGGATCTGCGGCATCTTTTGGAAGTTTCTCTAGAGCCTCCAGGGCTGGGGGAGGCAGGAGGGGATGGCAAGATGTATCCCTGCCAGGAGGCAGAGGCTGGGGTCAGGCCTAGGGCACAAGCACAGAGTCCTCTGAGGGCATGCTGGCGGCTGGGGCCTAGTGAGGGGTCACTGGGCCGCCTGCCCCTGCCGGAGCCTCCAAGCAGGGCACCCTCATGCCCCAGCTCCTCAGGCTGGCGTACAGGCCCTCCTCCACACAGGCCCTCCCCACGGCTACTTCAGCTCTGCCTGCAGGGCACGCCCCAGTGGCCACTCCCGTCCCGCCGCCTCCTCCAGTGGGAAGATGTGAAAGCACAACTTGGCCCCACAACCCAAGAGCATGACCTTCATGGCTGGAGGCCCTGCAGGGGCACAGGGGCCAGACCCAGGGCGGAGGGAAGTGGAGCTGCCTGGGAGCTAGCCGGGAATAGGGACCAGGGGCCCTTGAGGAGGGAGGGAGGAAGGAAGGGGATAAGGATGGGGGTGCCAGGGGTGTGGCACATCAGCCTTCATGTCTTTATCTGTCACCCCACCAGCCTGGGAGAGTCTGATGGGGACACATCTCTGCAGCCTTCGCAATGAGCAGCAGACCTGTCACAGGCTAGGGGCAAAATGGGACCAATACATAAGGAGTGGGCACTCAGGAAACCACCTCTGCAATCCTGGTTTATGTTGCCTAAGGGGGGCCCGGCCGGCAGGCCAGCCTGGCATCCACAGCTCCCTTACAAACACTTCCTGGGCCCAGTGCAGTGGCTTATGCCTACAATCCCAGCACTCTGGGAGACCGAGGCAGGTGGATTGCTTGAGCTCAGGAGTTCGAGATCAGCCCAGGCAATATGGCAAAACCTTATCTTCACCAAAAACACACACACACACACAAAAAATAGCCGGTGTGATGGCACACACCTGTAGCTACTTGGGAGGCTGAGGTGGGAGGATCGCTGGAGCCTGGGAAGTCCAGGCTGCCCGAGCCATGATTGTGCCACTGTACTCCAGCCCACGTGACAGAGCAAGACCTTCTCTCAAAAGAGAAAAACCAAACATTTCCTGCACACCTACAGAATCAACCTCCATGGAGGAAAGAAAGGAAGGCAGACCCCCAGGGAAATGCTCAGCACTCCAGCGCCCCTGGTTCGCCTTCTTCCCAGCACCAAGCCCACCTGCGTTTACTTGCCTCCTCGTTTATTCACCAATGCCTCCCTCTGGGAACTCTAAGCTCCAGGAGGCTGTTCTCTGCTGAATTGATGTCCTGAGCAGCCCAGTGCCAGCACAGTCAATGAATGAATGAATGAATGAATCAATGACTTGGATTCAGTTCTCATGAAACAGCAAGCCTTACACTATGGAAATAGGTTCTTTGCAGCGGTATTTAATTAAGGATCTGGACATGGTCCTTAATGAAGGATGGGCCCTAAATCCAATAACTAGTGTTTTTACAAGAGAAAGGAGAGGGAGCCCAGTGCGGTGGCTCACACCTGCAATCCCAGCACTTCTGGAGGCCGAGGCAGGTAGACCACCTGAGGTCAGCAGTTCGAGACCAGCCTGGCCAACAAGGTGAAACCCTGTCTCTACTAAAAATACAAAAATTAGCTGGGCGTGGTGGTGGGCACCTACAATCCCAGCTATTCGGGAGGCTAAGGCAGGAGAATCGCGGGCAGAGAATGCAATGAGCCGAGATTGCACCACTGCACTCCAGCCTGGGTGACAGAGTGAGACTCTTATCTAAAAAAACAAAAACAAAAACAAAAATTAGCTGGGCATGGTGGTGCACACCTGTAATCCCAGCTACTTGGGAGGCTGAGACAGGAGACTCACTTGAACCCAGGAGGCGGAGGTTGCAGTGAGCTGAGATTGTGCCACTGCACTCCAGCCTGGGCGACAGAGCAAGATTCTATCTCAAAAAAAAAAAAAAAGAGGCCAGGCACAGTGGTTCACACCTGTAATCCCAGCACTTTGGGAGGCTGAGGCAGGTGGATCATCTGAGGTAAGGAGTTTGAGACCCGCCTGACCAACATGGCGAAACACCGTCTCTACTAAAAGCACAAAAAATTAGCCGGGTGTGGTGGTGGGCACCTGTAATCTCAGCGACTCTGGAGGCTGAGGCAGGAGAATTGCTTGAACCCGGGATGCAGAGGCTGCAGTGAGCTGAGATTGCACCATTGCACTCCAGCCCGGGCAATAAGAGCAAAACTCCGTCTCAAGAAAGAAAAAAAAAAAGAGAGAGAAAGAGACAGGAGAGGGAGACTTGGACATGGAAATGAAAGCCATGGGGAGGTACATATCGGAGTGATGCAGCCACAAGCCAAGGAGCCACCAGAAGCTGCAAGAAGCAGGGAAAGCTCCTCTGGCTGGTAGTGACATCTGGACTTCCAGCTTCTGGCTCCAGAACTGTGAGGGAACAGATTTCTGTTGTTTTGGGCCACCAAGTTTGTGATCTTTGTTACAGCAGCTCTGGGAAGCTAATACAGTCACACAGATAAAAGGGGATGTGTACTAGACTCACAATGAGGAGTACAAGGCTTGGCAAGCCAGGCCCTGCAGAATGACACGCCTGTCCCGACCCTGCACAGACCTGTTGTCCTGGGGGGCCCTGGCAGGGAGCACTGCTAGAAGCAGGAGCAGGCAGACAGGGACCAGAAGGGGTGCCCTGCCCCCTGCGGTTTCCACTCAGGGACTTGGCTGGGGAAGGCACTTTGCCTTCTCTTGGCTCCATCTCCCACATCTGCTGGGGAGGAGAGCTGGGGCGCAGGCTCTGCTGCATCCTGCGCAGGCGATGGATGAACCGGGCAGGTCTCCTGGGTGCTCTCTCTGCCCTTCTGCCTCTCTCGGTGGGGGGTGCTGGTAATACCTCCCTCACTGGGCTAGGAGAGCGGCAAAGTCAGTTAAGGGCGGTGAACGGGTCTGGCCTGGGGCGTGGCACCGAAGAGGAGTGCAGGAAATGGCTGTGTCCCTGCTGCCCGGGGCGGTGGGAGCTGACGCAGGCCTAAGGGCTGGGAGACCTGGAGCCCTGAAGGTGCTGCGGGGAGGGGCTGGCATTCCTCTGTAATCCGCCAGGCTGCTGAGCGAAATCTGGGGGCGGGACTCAGGCAGCCTCTGCCTGCAAGGCCTCCCTGACCTCTGAGAAGACACTTGAGACTCTGAGCCCACTCCAGGGTCACCCAAGATGGGGTGATGGCAGTGTCTAAGCCCCCTGAGCCAGCAAACAGCCAGTGCCCCCACCTGTCTGGGGACTTGCAGCAGTACACCCCAACTCGGGGGTGGGAGGGAGCTCACAAAGTGGCTGTAGGTGGGTGCTCAGGAGCTGACTGACTCCTGTGGAGTCCTCCAAACGCCATCCCTACAGGGACACCCCGACACCCATCCCCTGCGTGAGTCTGGGCTTGAGCTGTGAGGTACAGAGGATCTACTATGTGTTAAGCCCTGTGTTGAGGGCTTTATTTTGCATGTTCAGATTTCATCCCTACAACCGCCCCGTCAGGTGGGTACTATTATGGGTCCATTTTATGGATAAGGAAATTGAGGACCACAGAGGTTAAGTGACTTGCTCAAGACCACAGAGTAGGGAAAGGGCAGAGTTGGGATTTGAAATAAGTCTATTTACCTCTTTCCTCTAAATCACAGCAGAGAAACAAGGAGAAAGAGATGGCTTTCATCTCAATACTGGAGAAGGAGAATACTTTTTTTTTTTTGTTAGGGTCTTGCTGTATCACCCACGCTGGAGTGCAGTGGTGGCATCATGGCAGCCTCGACCTCCCTGGCTTAAGTAATCTTCCCATCTTGGCCTCCCAAAGTGCTAGGATTACAGGTGTGAGCCGCCGTGCCTGGTGGAGAACACAGCTCTTAAGACACTGCGGAGTCGCTGGCTCAGTGAGATTTCCCAACAGGAGTCCTTCCTTCACTGTTTCCACACCAGCCCTCCCCCACAGAGAGGAATGCGAATATCCACTGACAGGACAGGGAAACGGAGGCAGGCACTTGCCAGCCCTCTAGCAGTTTGCAACTCAGAGACAGAAGAGACCACGTTTGAACAGGATCTCGCTGGCTCACAATGCATTCAATGAACTGAAAACAACGTGTGTCCAAGTGACAGCCGGGTTCCTGGTGGCCAAGGCCACAGCCAGTGGAGCATCTGGCAAGATTTCACTGCCAGGTGTGGGGGCGAGAGGGGCAGCGTCCACAGCCTCCCCCACTTTCTCCTGCCTCTCATTTTCCTAGGGAGCAGAGACGCTGGCGAGTTCCACTAAATAAATCGTTTCTTTTTCGGATCCCAGCCTTGCTCCTCAAACAAAGCTGGGGGAAGGGGCTTCCCAGGCCCCTGCTTGTCTGGGAATGACCCCTGGAGGAGGGTCCTCTAAAGAATGCCTCGCAGCTGCCGCACCCCCTGCTGACAGCTGGAGGACAGGGGGCCTCTCCAGGGAAAGCCTAAGGGACCTTAAAGAGACACAGGAAGCCTGCGCGACCCACCCACTGAGCCCCGAGGCTCCTGTGCTCAACCGCAAAATGGGAAAAATACTTCCTGCTCCGTTAACCTCCCGGGTTGTCACGAGCACCGGAGTGGAGACGTGGAAAGACCCCGGGTGGGAGGCGGGCACGCGGGTTCCCGGCCCACCCCGCCGCCCACCCGCCGGGCGCTTCTGGGACAGCCCCGGGCGCTGGCGGGCCTCGCTCCCTTTCCTGGGTTCTGGAACCACGCTGCACCGAACTTTCCTCCAGGCCCGCACCACTCCGGCAGGGCAAGTTCTTTGCAAACTGTGAAGCGCCGCGCCGCCTTCGGCACGGTTCCTGGCTCCGGGCGGCCCCTCGCCCGCGGACGGCTCGAGGGCCTCTCCCCTCGCTCTGGGACCTCCAGCTGGCCGGGAGGGCGCGGCCTTACCTGTTCCAGGTGGCGTTGGCGCAGGCCCGGCGCTGCTGCGTGCCCCGCTCGTCCGCGGCGGCGGCCGGCTCTCTCTTGCCCAGGTCACTGAGGCTGGGCGAACTCATGAACTTCAACCTGCGGAGAGTCCTCATGGTGACCCGGGCCGCCTGCGCCGCGCCCACGCGCGCCCCACGCCGCGCCCTGCGCCACGCCGCGCCAAGGGCCCCGGGCCGGCGCTGCGCCCTCTACGCGGAAACTCGGGCGAGAGCAGGAAGCCGAGCGGCCCTGAGGGGTCCCGCCCCGGCCCCGCGCCTCCGTCTCGGGTCCCGCGCCGGCCGCCCCGCCGGGTTAATCATTGCACGGAGCGACTCAGCGTGGAGCGCCAGGCGCGCGGCCAGCACGGACCCGGCGCAAACGCAGACCGGGGGCGGGCCCAGGGGCGGGGGCGGGGGCGGGTCGCGGCGCCCCGGGGGGGGCGGGACGGGAGGGGCGGGGCATCGCGGACGGGGCGGGGCCTCAGGCGAGGGGGCGTCTACAAGAGGCGGAGCCGGCGTCTCCGCGGCCGCAGCTGCCGAGACGTCCCGCTCGGTCTATCTCTGGGGACGTGCTCGCCCTCCTCCCCTCTTCTGAGGGCCCCACATACCCACAGGAAACCAACATGCACGGGGCGCAGGGCCCAAGCGCAAGCGCCCGCCCCCTGCCCGGCACTGCGGTCGCGTCCACACGATGTCCAGCGACCCCGGCCCCGGCGGTCTCTCCCTTACGTCCCTCCTCGCAAAGGCTGTGCTACAAAGGTGCCTCCGTACCCCTCACCTGAACACAGGCTCCCCCACCCACTTCTCATGAGGACTTTGGGTAGAGGCCTTCACTCCCCTCCAGGCACCTCTGCCCAAGAACCCACCCCACCCGGCCTCAGCCTACACCCCCTTGGAGGGGGACTTCAGCATTGCCTGGCTGCCTGGAGGATTTGCTGGATTGGCGGCTTGAAGAAGTAGAGGGTTTGCTCCTTATTTCCCACCCCCAGGTCTCTTGGATGGTAAAACCAAGCAGAGGTTCCCAAGTCTCTGTGGTGGGGGCAGAGTGATCCCAGTGAAGGCAGGGCACTTTTAGATGTCTGATCTCCTCACATGAACTAACATGAACTACTTCGTGAGGCAGAGGTTATTATTCTCCCCATTTTTCAGTTGAGGACATTGAGGCTCGCAGACTGAAGTAACTTGCCCAACATTGTGCAATCAACAAACGGCAAAGTTGGGCCTCACCACAGGGAGCGTCCAGCCCCTTGCACGGGGCCCTTCACAGTCCCCAGCTTCTGGGATTCCCACAAGGCTCACCTGACCCCTCCATCAGATAGGGGGGTGACAGCTACAGCTCCAGGAGCTGGGAAGACCCCATATAAAATGTAAGAGAGAGGTGGTGGCTCACGCCTGTAATCCCAGCACTTTGGGAGGCCGAGGTGGGAGGATCACCTGGGGTCAGGAGTTCATGACCAGCTGGGTCAACAAGGAGAAACCTCATCTCTACTAAAAATACAAAAATTAGCCGGGCGTGGTGGCGCACGCCCGTAATCGCAGCTACTCAAGAGGCTGAGGCAGGAGAATCGCTTGAACCTGGGAGGTGGAGGTTGCAGAGAGCTGAGATTGCGCCATTGCACTCCAGCCTGGGCAACAAGAGCGAAACTCTGTCTCAAAAAATAATAAAAATAAAAATAAAAATAAAATAAAATGTAAGAGAGCCTCGTGAAGAGTCTTTGTTTAGTGCAAATCAACCAGTGTCTCCTGGGCACCTCCTGTGTTCCAGACATAAACATAAATACCATTGTCTTTGGGAGACAGAGCCATAAACAGACAAACTTGCTCGTCAGTCAAGTGGAATGGACCGGTTCATCTCACAGGCAGCTGGGGGCCCACAGGCAGCAACAGGTGCTTTGTAAACTAACTGTCAAGTGCTGTACACGTTTTCTTTTTCTTTTTGAGACGGAATCTCACTCTGTGGCCCAGGTTGAATGCAGTGGCACCATCGTGGTCACCGCAGCCTCTACCTCCTGGGTTCAGGCAACCCTCCCATGGTAGCCTCCTGAGTAGCTGGGACTACAAGGCATGTGCCACCATGCCTGGCTAATTTTGTGTGTGTGTGATGGAGTTTCGCTCTTGTCGCCCGGGTTGGAGTGCAATGGTGCAATCATGGCTCACTGCAAACCTCTGCCTCCTGGGTTCAAGCAATTCTCCTGCCTCAATCTCCTGAGTTGCTGAGATTACAGGCACCTGCCACCATGCCTGGCTAGTTTTTTAAATTTTTTTTATTTTTAGTAGAGACAGGGTTTCACCATGTTGGCCAGGCTGGTCTCGAACTCCTGACCTCAGGTGATCCTCCCACCTCGGCCTCCCGAAATGCTAGGATTACAGGTGTGAACCACCACAGCCGGCTCCCTGGCCAATTAAAAAAAATTTTTTTTAATAGAGACAGGGTCTTGCTATGTTGCCCAGGCTGGTCTCAAACTCCTGGACTCAAGCAATCCTCCCACTTTGGCCACCCATAGTGTTAGGATTACGGGCATGAGCTACTGTGCCCAGCCCACACTCTCAAACTTACAGGAACACTGTATCTTTTAGATCCCAAACCAAATTTCATAGCCAGACATGGATTTCCTACCTTATTGCTGTAAAAAAACCAAAAACAACAACAACAAAACATATAAAAATACTAAGGCGTGTACTGAATTGTCTCTGAAAAGAATTAAAACAGAGGATAAAGCCCAGATCCTTGACTCTTACGAAGGGGCCTTTGAGACCTGCTTGCCCTCCAGCTGCGGTCCCTCCCTTGCCCTAGAATGTCTTTCAGGGAAGTTAGTTGCCCCTGTCTCTGACCGCCTTCACTCTCAATTAGGCTCAGGGGTGGTCCTCTGTCACCTGATGACTTTTTTTCCATCCTATGCCGTAAGCCAGGAGGGCAAGAACCATAACAACTTGTTCATTGCTACAGTCCCCGTGCCTAGCGCACGGAGGGGGTGCTTCATAGATACTTGGTTTAATGGACGGATGAACATTTATCTCATAAGAAATAAAGGGATTACATTGGACCACATTGGTGAAAATGCCTCATAAAAGTGGCCAGGCTGGACAGATGTAAGGAAGATTCTCTGTCACGGCTACTGGTGTACATGCAGCAAAGCAGAACCGCCAGGGATCCAGACGGGATGAAATGGTTTCCCATGCCGGAGGCAGGCTCTCGGGAGAGGGCTGGCTTTGTGGGCTCAGCACAGCCTGGTCCCACGCTTGCTGACCGCTGGCAGGGCCTGGCTGGCAGGAGAGGCCAGCCCCAGAGAGGGAGGGAGGCCTGACTGCTTGGGATAAGAAATCAGAGAGAAATCAGCAGCCCGAGGTGGGAGGCAGGAGGAGGGAAACGGGGGGGGGGGGGGCTGGGAATGCCGCAGGCATCTGGGAGAAGCGGCCAGACAGAAATTCCGGAGCTGGGGATGGCTGAGGAATTTTAAAGATACCTTTAGAAAAGGCATCTCTAGTCAGCGTTAAGGAATTAGCTATCACTGCTCCCTGGCCCCAGCCACAGATGTGTAAAATCTGTCTACACCCAAGAGCCCAGTGCCAGGAGAACAGTGGAGGCTCAGGCAAAGGTGCCACCACTCCGGGTTTGGGCCATGACAGGTAGAGAGGGCACAGCTGCGGGCTGCCCTTGGGGCCAGAAACCCCAGGCAGAGGCCAAGAGGGGACAGAGCTGTCACAAACCCTCAGAGCAGGGGGCAACTGGGGGACAAAGGGCCGAGTCCAGCCCCTAAGTGTGTTCTATGTGGCCTGCAGCGTCGGAGGAAAAAAAAAAACCAAACTGCATGCGGCCAACATTTTACAACGGAGAGACTGACACAGAAACCTGGATTCTGGCCGCCCTGAAGCATCAGATGATAGTCTTGCTGGGCCTGAGTCTCACATGACAGCTCCCACCCGGGCACTGCCCCTGCCAGCAGGCACGAGGGCTCCAGGTGCCCACCAGGCCTTCCTCTCACTTATGGGGCTTTCTGGGTCTGATGAGGGGGCTGGGGGACCCAGCAATTGTATTGTGGAGGGGTGCCCTGTGCAGGGCTCATTAGAGTCTGAGACCAGGGAAGGGAAATGCCCCTGTTAAGAAAATAAGAGACAAAGGGACTCAGTCACACATCCCCCAAGCTGCCAGAGCCACCCCCGCTCCAGACTCATTCATACATCCTCAAAGCCACCAGAGCCATTCCTGCTCCAGACTCATTCACACATCCCCAAAGCCACCAGAGTGGCCCCCGCTCCAGGAAGTTGCCAGGCCAGATGTCCTCTCCTCCCCAGCACCCAAACTCATTTCAAACTCCCCCTGGCCAGCGGGGTGTCTGGAGCTGGTAGAGGACCCTGGTCACGGAGGGGGAACCCTGATATCCTCAGAACTACCCTTCTGAAGGGCCTGCAACCCCTAAGCCTGGCTCAGCCCCAGCTGGACTCAGTTCCCATCCCCAGGGACAGGAACAGACCGGTAAGTCAAGGCGGCTCATGAACCCGGGACTCTGAGCTCCAGTCCATTAGCACTACAAGTAACATCATGATCTCTGGGACACAGGCCAACCAAGGGGAGACAGCATACCCCTGAAGGGGCCAGTTCGGGGCCCAGGGAGGGGTACTAGAGGCATGGTACAGGGGCGGCCATTAAACATACTGCCCCATCTCGTCCCCACAAGGCTGCCAAGCGGGAGACCAGTCCCATCTTACAGACAGAGAAACAGAGGCCCAGGGAGGCCAAGGCGTATGTCCGAGGTCAGAGTCAGCAAATGGCGGAGCTGGGGCTGCAGCCCTGCGGGCTGGTGGGGAGAGAGAGACAGCCTCCATCTCGCCCACTGTGCCCGGGGCGCTGCCCTCAGCTGCTGCCCTCAGCTGCTGCCCTCAGCTGCCCACTTTCCCCGGGCACTGCTTGCTCTGGAGGGGCACTTCTGCCCCCTGGTGGTGAAGCCTGGTGTTCCCTCAAAGCAGACCCGAAAGTCCCTTCTGCACAGAGCAGCCTGGTCAGTCCTGGACACCCGGGAAGAGGCCTGGCAACGTGCTGGGCACGGAAAGCCATGGGGAGTTCCTGGCTCTGTCCCCACAGTCTCTGCCATCCGGGCCCGT